AAAAAAAAAAAAAAAAAATAAAAAAAAGTGATTTTTTTTTTTTGTTGTATTATTATATATGCAAGAAGGAACGAAATACACCTTAAACATAGATGATTACGAAGGTTACTTATTTATTTTTTATTTTTTATTTTTTTTCCCCTTTTATTTTATTTCCTTTTTTTTTATAAGAACTTTTTTTTTCATATATAGTTTCTATAATTTTAAGAGTTTTTTTCTTTTATTATTATTATTATTATTATTATTAGCGGTTTTTTTTTTATTATTATTTTCTTTCTTCAATTCTATTCTTTTTCCTTTTTCTTCTTTTTTAATTTGTGTAAATATTATATATATATATTAAAAAAAATTATTATTATTATTATTAATAAATAAAAAACAAAAAAAAAATCATCATTTCATTCAATTTATTTATTTTGCGTGTAGTGTAATTTTTTTTTATTTTTTAAAGTGTAAAAAATACATTTGATCAAGATTAAAAAATGACTTGAAAGACGATAACGACGATAAAAACGATGACAACGACGAACCAATTTTTTTTAATCCGAGTTCAATGATTTGATAATTTTGATCGTTGTCAGTTATTATATAGATCCATCCTAATATGTTTACAAATAATTCATTTTTGATGCAACTTTATCATAAATAAATTTTTTTTTCTTTTTCATTTTTATTTTTTATTTTTCAGGAAATAAAAAAAACGGAAGCCAAAAATACCCAATTGAAACATCAAAACAAAAAAGATGAATTAAAATTAACTAAATTTGGACAAATTCCAAAGTGTTTGCTATTTTTAAGAACATCCAATGAATTTATGATCTATTTTGTAATACCAAATGGTATTTCAAATATTTCCAATAAAAGCACAATGTTAATAAATTTAAATGCAATTGATATGCGGTGTATGCATCATTTGAAATATTAAAACTTGTTTTAATGTAAATAAATATTTTATATTACAATCCAAATTTAGTAAATTAGAATAACTTTTTTTTTTAAAAGAGTTTTTTAACAAAAAAAAAGGATAAATTGCATTGCTTATTTATTATTATTATTCAATGCAAAGAATTCACATAACAATAACATATCAACATATCAAAATATCAACATATCAACAATTCAGTTATTTTACGCATCCTAATTCTTAATTAGAAATTATCCCTGTTTATCAATATTCTTTAAAAAAAAACAAAAAAGGGTCTCGTTTTTTTTTTCGTTTGTTACATTAATTTACATGAATTTACATGAATTTACATGAATTTACATGATAACAACGCGATTTTTTATTTTTTATCCCATTCTCGAATTTTAAAAAAATCATCAGGGATAAAAATCACAAGGACATTACCGAAGTTTAGTCTCCTTATCTCCTTTTATGACTTTATTAAAGCGCCAAACCGTTTTCGTGCTCCAAGCAAAAATTATTACTTTGCGCCATTATTTACTTTCGCTTGTTTTACGTCCTTAAAATTTCTCATGAATTTAATGAAAAAAGTTTTTAATCTTTTGTGTAAATAAATAAGTATGTACTATCATGTTATTATGTTATTATACTACATAACGTACACGCACAATATTTTTTTAACTATTGAAAAATAATGTGGCAAAAAACGCGCCCAATATTTATACCACCCCTATCGTCCAATACTTGTTGTGTAAAGTAATACTAAAGATTAGAAATTGTCTTGGTAATCATTAAGTAATATAAAGTATGTATAAAGTTTGTATAAAGTATGTATGTATTGTATGTATTATGTATTTCTACCATATGCTATTTTTTGCAATTACTCCCGTTTTAATAAGTTTAAATAACATAATTTACATAAAACATTATTTAAGGTTTATTTCTGACTTTTTAGGAAATTCGGCACTGCATGAAATTTTTCATGTTATTAGTTTCTTCTTTGTCAATTATCCCCTTTATTTTTATTTTATTTTTTTTCTTTATAATTATGATGATCATGGTGAATATTTTACGACGATCAGTTACACGGTTTTTTATTCGTAAAAATTGGGTTTATTGTAATCTACCTTTTTTATTGTCTTCTTTTATCTAAACAATATTTTAATTTTTGGATATAATTCATTGATATCATGTATACTTTTACCAATCATTACTTAACTTTCTTCCGTTAAATATTCTTTCATTTTGCATCACTTTCCAAAAAAATGCAAGTATATTTTTTTTTTTTGAATGAAATGAATGAACATGAGGAAGTGATTTTCTTGTTACTCCTTTTCCTTTGTGCTCAGCTGTCAAAATTTTCCCTCTTTAGAATCTCTTTTTAATTATTTAATTAAAACTTTTTTAGGAATACATACCATATTACGCTTGATTAAAAATCTTTGGAATGCATTTCTTATTTAATAATAGCCGTTAATAGCCGTTAATAATACAATATTAAAGGTCATCTCATTCCTATTTTTACAAATTTTATCGATAATTTTTTTTTTTTTTTTTTCTGGTTTCATCTTATTAATTTCATTTTATTCTCGCTTATTAAGAAAAATTAAGATAAATGGCGTGTTCTCATCAGCCACACCCTTTTTTGGTGTATCATAATACTTTTCCATGTTTCGAATTTTCTATCTCAGCCACTTTTTATCCTTATTAGTTTAATTTGCCACTACAAGCCAATCAAAGCCAATAGCCACTCAATACCCCTTTGTTTCAGGTATTTTCAGATCAACCTCGCTTTTTAAAATCATTTCTTCTATGACTCGGGGTTTTTTCTTTTAAAATGACTCTTGTTTAAAAATTGTGATAAATGTGATAAAATTTAAAGTTTATCTAAAATGAGAATTATTTCTTCTTACATGTAAAACAAATGATTTTTCGGATTATTAACCCCGATAGTTAAGATGTTAAATAGATTATATATATATATATATTTTTTCTTTGTTAAATATTTAAAAAAAAGTAATCAATAATATTAAAAAGGTATCAATTAACCAAATTTAAAATAATTTTTAATTATGAACTTTTAAAGGAGTATGATTTCCTTAAAAGAAAAAAAGTTTTTTTAAAGTTTAAACTTTTTGAACCTATTAACTTTTAGATTTATTCATTAAATATTATCGGTCAAGGACCGATAATGAATTTTAAAAAAAGAATGAATTAAACTTTTATAAAAAAAAAAATATTATATATTAAATATTGTTCTTATTATTTTATAATATTGTTTTTTTTTTTTTATATTATATACATATATATGTTATGTGTACATTGTAATATACGGATTTACGGATATACGCGTTTCACCAAGGTTAAACGCGTGACGTGATTTTATCGTAACAAGTAATTCTTTGAAATAATTTAATTATATTATTAAAATGTTTCAAATTTAATTATAGAATTATTCTTTTTTTATTGTAAGGAATTTCATAATATGTAAATAAGTGAATTTGAAATATTGAATTATAAAAATATTGATGAATCAAGTGAGTGAATTAAGTGAATTGGAATTAAAACATGATGCAAAATAAAAAAGGTCGAATTAAAGTTAAAGGTCTAATAATAAAAGGTGAATTGGAATTATAAAATCAAAAGATATAAAATATGTAAAATAAAAGGTTGAATTAGCTATATCTAATTAGAATAGTTGAATTTATAAATCAAAAGATGTAAAATATAAGATTGAATTTTCTATAAATAAAAGGTCTACAGTAATTGGAATTATGAATTGGAATTATAAAATCAAAAGTGTGAAATAAATTGGATTTAACATAAGTGGAATTATGAAAATTACATTTATTTACCAAAGTTAATAGCATTTATTTATAAAAATACATGGTGCCCGATACAATTGTCAAAATCACGCATTTATGTCAGCATTTACACTTTTAAATCTCCAAGTGCCCGATACAATTGCCAAAATCACGCATTTGCGTCAGTATTTACACTTTTAAACTTTTAAATCTCTAAGTGCTTGATACAATTCTATACAATTGTCAAAATCACGCATTTATGCTAGCATTTACACTTTTAAACTTTTAAATCTAAGTGCTCGATACAATTTGATACAATTGTCAATCACGCATTCATATACAGTAACACTTATGGAAGATGTACGTAGTATGTGCACTTAGAGAGCATAACACTTTTAAGTTCATTTAATAAGGTCGGTCATGTCTATGCCAAAAATTTCACTAAATTGATAGTATAAATCTAATCAGTGTTATTATTACTAAACCATTTTAAAATAATATTAATAATAGATTCTTGCAAATTATTAATCAGATATTATCTCCACATTTAAATTGTCATGAATACAAATAAATATTGTCGAATTTTATTAATTTTTTATTTTATTTTTTGTCTAGAATATTAGTTTATAAATTTTTAAATTTTATAAATTACTCAAAATGTTCAATTATTATTTAATTTAATAAGAATATTGGTTCAAGATATTAATTCTTCTGCAAGTAAGCGAGTGATTGTCTGACTGACAATTTTATTTCGCTTTTTGCGCCTACATTAAGTTGCAGGGCATATGAATAATAATTATACTTGTTAATCTCTTCTTTCTTTCTTTTTTTTTTTTTTAATATATATTTATTCTTTTGGACTCACTTAAATTTAAAACTGCAAAATGGCAAACACGGAAACGTTGGAACGTTTTTTCAGTTACGTTGACCAAAACCAGNTTTGAAAATTTGTAAATGAAACTTGAATAAAAACAAGTAATTATGGAAATAAAAAAAAAACCCAAAAAAAAAAACAATATTAAAATAAAAAAATGTGCGAAAATAAACTGCTTGCAAATATACGATGTTACAATAATTTTGTCCTTTTATCGTTTTCGCTTCACTTTGATTCTATTTGCTGATGAGACTTGGGAAGAAATTTCTGAGGAGCCACTGGAAACTCGAGCGGGATTGATATTAGAGCTTTTTAGTGTGTCCCGACCATTTGATTGAGAATCATCACGACTAGTGTTTTGTTGTATGTTTCTTTTTTGAATTTTAATAGTCGTGCGACTTTCTCGATTAGTATCCGACTGAGCTTGTGTAATACCGTTACGAACAGATACTTTGGGGTTAACACGGCTAATGTCTTGTTTCATATTTGAACCTTGTTTGAATTGTCGGTTGGAGGATTTCTGGACCTCTGAACTTAAACTTTGTTGCATATCGTGGTTACTACTTTTTTGAGTTTTTGGATTAATAACTTGCTTTGTTTCACGATTGACGGTTCTGCCATGATGATGTTGAGGTTGCTTGATATCCCGAATATCCCGAGGGACAGGTCTTTGAATATCCGAACCGATTGATTTTGTATCACGAGGAGCTTTGTAAAGATCCGGTGTTTTTGAATCACGAATACCGGTTTTGTGATGTCCCGGACTAGAAGTTCGAGCTGACTTCTGAAAGCTTTGACTTACAGCTGATGGTCCTTGACGACTATTTGGTCTTGAAATATTTACCCCTTGATTATGAGACAAGGCTTTTTCGATGGAATTGCACAAAGGATTTAGCATCTATTATTAAAGAGTAATATGTATATAATATTAATAATAATAATTATATAGTTATCATGCAGAATTCAACATGTTTAAACGTGCCTGTTGAGCTTGTATTAGTGCATCTTTCCATTCTGAGTCTATCCTAGGAGATCCATTGGAATCCGGGCGGCTTCCATTAACTTGCTCAAAACTATTACCACCTTTTGAACCGATTTTTACTCGTTTACCGTTGATGACAACTGATTTTGGTTCTTGATCTTTTTGAATTGTATTATTATTAGATGACCCATTCGGAAGGTTGAGTCCTTGCTTAATATCTTCTTCTGATGGTTTCAACTCAGAAATCTGATCAATTTTTGTTAGGATTGATTTTAATTGCTCTATCATCCGCTTATTTTTTTCTACTTTTTCTTTAACGGTTAAATCAACGGACGCCCAAAAATGACGCAAAAACTCATTTCCCATCAATTGGATTACATTGACTTCCTTTTCAATTTTTTGTGGTAGATATTCTGTAGGGATAATAATTAAATAAGTTGAATGTTTTGCAATGCTATATAATTAAAAAAAAGAAAAGAAAAGAAACCACGCTTACCAATTTTAGGTTTTGATTCTCTCATACGATTTTGTTTGTCTTCAATCATTTCATTACACTTTTGTGTTACTAAATTAGGGATAGGTGTATCTACTTTTCTTGGAAACAGCGACTTACCAAAAAAAACATGTGCATAATGTATTAGTTAACGAAAAGGATAACATATTTAAGGTTAAAAAGTATATACCTTCGTAGTCAAGTTAGGTTTCCAATTTCTAAAATTATCTCGGAATTTATTTAATATTTCAATAGAATTTTGATGCTTAATAGAACTCTAATAAATGTTTTGATATTACAAAGTTAATTATGGTAAAATACCCAGATATTAAATTGTTTGACTAACCTGATCAGCATCAACCATTTCAACGTCATTGTCAATTTCAGTTGCTTGACTAGCAAAATATTCACGCTGATCTGTAATATCTAACTTGTACGTATTGGGTGATTCCTCTTCAATTAATTCGTCCATTACAATATCATCTTTATAAATCTCCTAAATAATAAATAGTTAGAAAATAAATTATTAAAACTTAAAACTTCTTGATTATTTTTAAACCTTTTGTTGCTGAGCCATCGCTTCTTTATAATTACGAGATTTTTCACTGAATTAAAAACAGTATTAATATAATCAATAAGTATTACTAGTAAATAATTAAAATTACGATAATCAAATACAAACCAAGAAGTCTCTAATATTCGTTCACCATGTCGATTATTTCTCCGCAATAAAGAAAGAATTTTTCCCTGACCCGCTCTCATAGTGACATCTGGAGCAAAGTCAATCTGAACGATAAAGTAAATGAAGAACAATTTAAACTTACAAACTCATAAATGATGTATTACACACTAGGACTTTACCCAGAACTTTCTCAGAAAGTTAGTTATAAATATATATTTAATTAAAATCAATTACCTCCATGTGGTCTTCTTTTGTTGCACTCAAGTCTCTAAGATTACTTATTTTTAATCTCTTTCGCCCATGTTCCCTTTCTTGATTTAAATCTAATAATAAATAAATATGTGCGATTAATTAGAATTTGTCTTAAATAAATATTATAAATAATTGGAATCAAAAAGATAAAAACTACTCACCATCTTCCGTTTCAGCCCAACACTTCTCAAATATATCGTCATTGTTTACATTTGATGTACCTCTGTTTCGATCGTTAAACTTAGAATGAACATAACGTTTCCAAAAGACCTCTTCACTTATCTAAAAATAAATTAATAATAAATTGGACGTTTTTTATTGAAGAAAATTGAATAACTAAGTTGAAATTTATAAGCACAATATACCTTAGTAGGAACATTTTTTTCATAAGCAATTTTAACCCTTGGATATTCTTCAAATATCTCATTGATCAATTGCGGAGTGATATTTATCTTGGCCTCCCCACCTTCTTCGGTAACAGGGCGTAGGTTAGGCATAGTCGAAGAACGACCCTTCTGCTGGCTCGTTCGCGTATCTTGATCACGTAATAGATTCTATGCCATCATCCACCTTTTTAGTTTATCACTTTAAAAAAATTTTCGCCAACAAAAAAAAAACAAATGGCCCACAAAAATATGATCAGAAAAATCATGAAAATGTATGGAAACACCATACTTTTCTCAATTCCCAGAATTCCTCTTCCGTAATACATTTCTGCTCAACGACAAGCATTCTGTGTTGATCTGCTAGCTTCTTGTCTCTCAATAGCAAGTTCATACGTAAATTGATTTCCCTCGGAGTAACTTTTCTCAACGGTGTCGTACTATTTCTACCATTTGTTGGGGTACCATTCTTATTATTATTATTCCATACAGCAGGTGAAGAACCGCCAGATGCTGGCGAGGGAGCTGCAGATTTATAATGTACTGGTGAAGTTCCAGCAGACTGCTGTGGGGCGGGAGACGGTGCAGCGGATCGCCCTGGCCCTTTATTTCTAACTTTGGCTTTTATTATTTCAAGATCTTGCCATGCTGACGGGGATTTTAAGACAATCGTATGTGTTATTTCTTGATTATTATAGTCAGTACATTTAATTTTAAATTTTGCGTCGGCTACATTTGGCTTTCCAACGAACAAATCTGATATTAAATGTTTGAAATAAAATTTTAGTAATAATCTAATAATATTTGAATCTCAATAGATCCTTCCTAAAGTCATGAAGTTACTTTTTATTTCTAATGTTGCAATATCGATCGTCGGTGACTTTTCTCCTTGAACACTCCACTGTAGTCTCTTTGGAGTTAGAATCAGTATACCGTCTCTATCTTGATAACTTGCTGCAGTTTCTAAAATTATTTCTTTTTCCATATTATAGGATTCATAAACACTATTTAAACAGTGTTGATTTATTTACTATAAATTCGAAAATAGAAATTGAGAAAAAAAAAAAAAAATTTGTCCACAGTACCAAAAGTTTTTTAGTATATTTTGTAACAAAGGTAATCGTCTCAACAAATCAGCAGATTATGTTTGTGATGTAATGCGTGACACAATATAAAAAAAAAAAATCCTATACGTGTGACGGTGTGACACCAATCAAATTACAATCATCCATTTTTATCGAATAAAGTATATTGGTCGAAAAAAAATATAAAAAGGTCATTGAAGCTAAAATTCAGGAAATTTCGAAACCTATAGTTTTTCCCGATTTTATGCTGCGCCGGCCAGCTTTTTCCTGAATGAATTTACAGGTTATTTATTAAAAATAATATCACATTTTAATTTTAATTTTTAGTGTCAAGATGTAAAGAAATTTTTAAATAAATTTTTCTAATAGAAATTATTATAATAACTGATTCTGTAAATTTCTTGAGAATTTGATCAATAAAATAAAATTTTACAATGATTGTTTAAACAATTCGATTCATTACTAACCCGTTTTAAGAACTCCGTCAAAAAGATTTCATATATAAAATTCATTGAATATGGTAGTTAGCGTAACATTTCTGAAAATCTGAATCGTATGATAGAGTGACTAATAAAAAAGTTATCAGTTACTGCTTACTGCGGTAAGTCACAAAGGGTTATATATATCCGATGACCGTTGCACTTGAATTGCCCACTTTCCTTTCCTTATAGTTTTTCGTAGTTGACCAGAAACGGTCAAGTACAGTTAGTTGCAATTATAAATATATTTATTTATGCTAAACATTTGCATAAAGTGCTAAAAGTTCTACCAAAGGTTTACCTAAGAGAACTAAAAAAAAATGAATGATGTAGACGAGATTATTTTGGACTTTGATGGCAACGTCGACTTCAGTCTTTCTGAAGATCCTCAAGCTACTAACTCTAACTTAGCGGAAGGAGACAGTCTGTTTAGTCTTGAATCTGATATGAACTATGCAACCACCGAACAATTAACTGAAGGTGAGTTTTATGTACCTTGTAGGAATTATTTTAAAAGATGATGGCTGACCGAACAAGTTTTTTTTTAAATATTCGAATAATAGAGAAATTCAGCACAGAAGGGAAAAACGAAGATTCCGAATTAACTGATAACCAGTTATCTGAAAATATAGATGTGGATAATAATTCAACCTTATCACAACAAAAAGATCAAGACGAACTTAAGTTCGATGATTTTGATTTGGATCTTAATGATTATAGTGGAAATGTCGATGATGTGCCTATAGAAGATGATGAATTTTGGAAAGAATTAGGGTTAGACCCACCAAATGAGTCGGAAAAGGAGGAAAAGTTCGATGAGAAATCTGAGACTCCAAATAATTTTGATACAGACAATACAAATATTAATCCAAAAGAAAACACTCCAAAAAGGTTAATATCATCACAATCAGACGATATTAAAATTAATAATATTTCTAGCAATAAATCTGTCAAAAGGACTTCAAAATCTCCTGAAAAAGAAGATGGCGAAATTTTCAACGCTTCAACGTCTGCCGATAGACAAGTACAACAATCACAGAAACAAAAATTATCGCAATCACAGCAACAAGTACAAACACAGCGACAAGCTCAAACGCAACGAACACAGACTCAGCGTCAACAGCAACAGAATAATCTTCAACAACAACAAAATTTACAAAATTATAGAGGGCGAGGTGGTCGAAGAAATAACGATTGGCGTCCAATTAATAATAACAATACATTTTTAAATAGTGGCATGTCGTCTTTTCGTCCAGGATTCGGCCCAGGATTAGAAGGAATGCCTGGGTAATCATTTAATTTATATTTCATTCGGTTGAAGTTTAACATAATATTTAATTAATTATTTACTTAATTAATTTTTTAGTATGCAAATGGGACAAATGCCTTTAAACAATCCACACATGTTACCTATACCACACGGTAAGCAATGTGAAATCTTAATTTTATTTTTTAAAATACAAGATGAATGCGATTTATTTTTATTATTATTTTTTTTTTCAGTAAATTTAATTTAATTTTGAGTTTTATATTTGTTGTTTCATAGGAATGATTGGGCCGAATATACATGTTAATCCAAATTTCGCCAGATTACGACCACACACATTATTTGGGAATCCTATGAGCCAGTATCCTATAGGGTCCGGTGGACCTCCAATGAACATGATGCCATATCAAGGACAAATGGATATGCATCCATATCATCCTTCTATAACACCTATGGGTAGTGGACGTGGTAACAATAATTCGTATGGGGGAAGAGGTGGTAGTCCAGGCTTTAATCATAATTCAATTTCACCACGAAGACCAGCAAATCAGCAAAATAATAACCAATCTCAAAGGCCTATGCAACCTTCTCCAAAACGCAAGGTTCCAAATGACGGATTTGAACAAAAAGAACCTGATAGTAAAAAGATTTCAGTTACAAACGGTAAATCTCCTGTTCCAGACGCAAAATCAGTATCAGCTTTACAAAAAAATGTTGAAAAAAGTAAAGCTGTTGCTTCACCTGCGACAAAGAATTCCACTAGTCCTGCTGTCAAAGCTTCTAATTCCAAACAAGGAATTTCTACAGCAAATACCAACAAGACATCTTCGGCAGCTACAAAAAATAAAATTGCCCCAGCATCTAGTAATGCTACTAGTTCTACTTCGGTAAAACAAACACCTAAACCCGTGCAAAAACCTACACCAAAAAACACTGCTAGAAATGCACCAGCGAAAGCTGACGCTGCATCTACACCAACATCTAAATCTACCACTAAAACTGATAGTGCACCTTCATCTGGAGGTAACAAATTGACGATTAGAAATGTTGTTAAGAATGTGACTAGGCGCGATATCCAGGAATTGGCTAATAAAGTTCCTATTGGATTTTCGGTTGGTTAATCAGTTTATATGAAAAATTAGACTTGATGATTCAAGAAATTGACAAAATCTTTCTATTATTTTAGGCAATTACGTTCGATCGTTCGGCCCAAACCGCAGAAGTAGAATTCGAAACTCCCGAAGGAGCGAAGATGTTCAGAAGAATGCATAACAGGTATAATAAATAATGATTATTATTCTGTCGTAATTTATTGATTCTTGAATTCAGCATTAATACTAAAAAAATTTCAATTATTAAAGGAGCCTTCTCCATGGATCCAACATTGTCATAAACTTCTCTTGATCTCGTTCGAGCTTTTGGAGGTATCTTGAACTCTTTTTTGTAGGTGCCTTCTTGTCGACATTGTGGTTATTTTGTTGCTGCAAAGGAGGGATTTTTATTACCATATTTGTACTTTTTTTCCAAATTTAACTATTATCACTATTATCATTTTTTATAATATTTTTTTTTCTCTGTTGGAATGGGATATTGTTTAATATATGAACTTTTCAGATGTTGATAAAATGGTATTCGTTTTCATATTTTATTTTATTGTATTGTATTTTGATTCAATTTAAATGTTATTTTCGTAGAAAATAGATATTATCTAATTCGCATGGAATGTCAAGTTGGTGACAACGTCACACTCTGACTACCAAAAAAAAAAGAAAAAAATTATTTTTTTTAACAAAGATTTGGCATTAGTTTAATTTACCTTAATTTTTGCGACAACCAAATTTTGTGTGTAACATTAATCATCCAAGCATACTTAGTTGTGCATTTGTACATAGAACAATTATTAATTGCATAATCAATATTTATTAATTTTTGGAAATAAAAAAAACCCCCCCAAAAAATTAAGAACATAAAATTAAAAACTTTTTTTGAGTGTTTATAGTGAAAAGGATTAGTATTTAATCCAATAATATTATTAATAATATACTAGTTTAATTAATTAGAGTTAAAAAGGGTGTCAAATTCAATTTGACTAATTGATAAAGGGTTACGATTACGATTGACGTAAGCATCATTTATTTTAAATTCGTCCAGCAGTAATCAGTTTAGAAGCAAGTGCGGCCAGGATTGCTGCTTTACGATTACCATTAAGTCTTGAATACGCATCGTAAACAGACATACCTACAAAATTTATTAAAATTGTTCATCCATTTCATTATTGTATGTACAGACATGTTTTTAATGAAACATACCTTTCGCATCTCTAATAGCGCCTAATTTATTCCCCGCATAAGCACCTATTATCAAACCAGGCACATTACCACAAATAAATCCAAGACATGCGCCAGTAACAGCACCAACAGGTGCATAGAACCATGATGGATTATCTACTTCTGATCTCAATAAGTCTTCAAATACATCGCCAAAAACTTGATCTGGATTAGCCTGTGATGTTTGCCATGAATTTCCTTGCCGTTTCTTTCGAGTCGCTCTCGTATTATCTTTTAATAATAGCTTTTATCATAAATTTTGAAATAATGAATAAATAAATAAAAAAGTACGCTTATACGAACCATATTGTGCCCTCCTTTCCTTATCGCTGAGAACGAAATAAGCATCAGCCACCTTTTGAAAATGTATTTTTGCTTCCTCTTGAGAAAGTCTTGGATTTATCTCTGAATCTTTCGAGCCTGAAGCATATCTGTCTGGGTGAGTTTCAAGAGCTTTACGCTTATAAGCTTCTCGAATTTCACTATAATAATAAGTTTTATTAGAATAAGAATTCTCTTTTAAATTAAAGAGTTAACTAGCATAACATACTCAGCTGTGGCAGTTTCGGAAACGTTGAGAATTGCGTAATAGTCTGGAAATGTTTCCATAATTTAGTATTATGAAAAATGGGGAAAGTAATTATATTTCCCAAGAACAGTGCCGGGGATAAAATTTAAATCAATTAATAGAGTTAGATCACATGATGTATGATTAGGATGATGAAATATGGACATCATAATGCACAATGTACGTATCTATTAGTTCAGTAGGCAGAAATACGTTAAATTGGGTTACTTTAGAAAGTAACTCTTAGAAGCGCGAGTGCGCCCGATTGTTTTGAAGTTCTATAGTTCTCATTATATGAAAAGTATAGAGCGTGGATTTTAACTGCTCGATGTACAGATAGATTTACCAAAGCAAAAATTCAAATACACATGTTTTGCAATGAATATTTTAAAACTTTGTTCGAGGAAAAGTTATTAGATATTGTTATATAAATTTCTATGAAATAACAGAAATCAAAGGACAATATAAAGGAATGGATTAAGAACCTTGAAAAAGTTGCAATGTAAAATAATTGGAGTAAAGAAAGAAGGTTAGAGATAATCCCTACTATATAATTTATTAGGGAAATGATATATATTACCTAATATTAGTTTCATGAGGAGATTTTGACAAATAATATTTAATTGTATATAGAATATTAAGTTTACTAATAAAAGTGCTTGATTTTATATTACGTAAGATTTTTCTAGCTTATAAAAAAGGTAATAGTAAATATTAGATAAAGCAAACCTAAAACGAAATTGGTATACTTACTATAATTTTAGTTGATTTAGTTAGATAAAAACTATTCTATATGAAATCAAATAATTTGACCGTATAAAGTTTTATATAATCAATAATTATTGCAGTAATCTTTTTTAAAATTTGGTTATTTACTTTAAAAATTGGAAAATTTTATATATATAGTATTGAATTTGCATTTATTTAAAATATAAATCAAGTTTTAAAAGATATTATTATAATTTATACTTTATTTTTAAGAAGAAAAAGAATCTGATTATTTTATGGGAATTAGATCAACTAGTTCTTTCAAAAGTAGTTCAAATTGTGCTTTAAATGAATGATGATATATAAAAATAAGACTGGCAATAGAATTTTTAGGTCAAAGGCTTTAAGAATAGGGTATCAGACCCAGGACTTTAGAACTGAGTCTTTGGATGGATTGACTATATTTCTCACCTACCAATTGCCTGACCATTTTCCAGTAAAAGAAAAACTTGGTTTTTTTTTAACTTATAATGTTTATAAATTGCTTTTGATATTAAGACTTTAAGAGAATTCCTTTAAAACTTATTTGAATTAAAAACTTCCAGTTTTGAAGTTACATATTGAAAGTAATTCTCATCAAAGATATTTTTACTTTTATGAAATTTAAGCTCTTACCATATTTCTGAAAGTTGTAACAGTTATATACTAGGCAGCTGACTTTAAATACTTGTATTTGTAAAGTTTTCCTATTGGATTTCTATATTTTTAAAAGTATTGTAAAGATTCTTTTACAAAATATTAATTGAAGTAAATGGCCACTTGAAAAGCAAACTTTTTTCTTATTATTAGTTAATATTTAAAAAATAAAAATAAAGAAAGCTTTGTATATTTTCCATTTTTCTCAGTTTTTTCTTTAGATTTTCTGAAAATAATTATGATTTTTTTTAAACAGTTTGGTATTACTAACTTTTTTTGAGCTTTATAAATTGGTTTATTTGGTTAAATAAGAAGTAAATTATTTGAATCTAGTATAGACCTTGGCGAAAAGAATAGCAGTCAGTTTTTTTGATATCACAAATATAATTTATAGTAAAATGTGAAATTTTTTTTTATTTTCTGAAAGAGAAACAGAAAATACATATATTTCATTATTTATTTGATATGATCATCTTCCGTGTCAATAAATGCTTCAATTCAGTATTATGTACTATTCGCACTCTTAACTAGTATTCTTTTATTATGATATTTTAATATTTTCTTAATTTTCTCGCCATCTAAAGGTCAGATTGAGACAAAATTACCACCATTGGATTCCTCTTGACTATGTGGTTCGAATGGTAGTCTTAAAATTCCTGTGTGGCATCTGTGTAATATGCTAGTTCAAGTATAATAATGAGTATGATGAATTTTTATGTTGTATAAAGATAATCATTTTTCAAAAGCAATATAAAAGCTCAATAATATAATAAAAGTGCATTATTTAAATTTCGTAATTGCAAGGAATCTAATAATTGTAATTTTGTTTCAATACAAGCTTTGGTTGATGAGAAAATGAAGTTTAAACTTTTTATTTCAAACTTTTATACCAAATTCAATTTTAATGTAAAAATTATCAGTAGTATTTTTCTATGGTAATGTAATATAACAAAATGCAATTGTAATATTTGGCAGTTAAAAGTAAGTAGTTTTTTTTTAAAAAAAAATGGAATTTATTATTATGTAAAATTTTGTGCATTTTAAAAAAATTTATAGCAAATTATTATTCTTTGATTTCTATTAAATTTATAACTTCTTTGTTTTTTAGAGGGTAAAATAAGCATATAAACAATAATAAAATTTCCATCTTTTTTATTGCTTTTTAAAATAGTATTTTAAAAATCCCATTGGACATTACAAGTTTTAATTTAAATAGGAAAATTCTGATCTCATATCCAAAATAACAAATGATATTTGTACTGCCATTCTTTTCGCCGAGAACTGTATATTTACATGAAATTAAGTAAGCAGTATAACAATAAAATTTGAAGTATATTATCTAATACCATTTCATATTATACCAATTTTTTATACTGCTAATTTATAAGTATATCCAATAATAGATAATATTATCCTTTTATAAGAATTAGTTTAGTTATAAGTTCTAAAGATTTAAATGGCTTTTACAGTTTAAATATAATTATAATAAAGTTCTAACTATTTTTTTTTTTTATTTTTTAGGTTTCAGGTAAACTTTTAAAGAACAGAAAAACCTAAAGATTCATAAATACAAATATTTATACTTTTTTTAAAAAAATTATTTTAATTGTATTTTTCTTCTATTTTGTAAGTTTCTTTCAGTTCTTAGATATTGAATATTTTGAAGTAAAAACTTTAAAACTTTTTTTAAATAATATTATTTTTTTTAATTTTTTTTTCTTTTATTTTGTAAGTTTCAACTTTTGGTTATTAAATATTGAATATACAGTCAAACCTTAATATGATAGTGAACCCTTGATATAGTGAATTTTTCAGACAACTATAATAAATTTCCTCTTGCTTATAATGAATTAACCAATCAAATTTCTTAAAATCTTCACTATAGCCTATAAGTTTTGATCAGATGAAAGAATTGAAACTTTTAGAAAAAAATATTTTTTTAAGGATAATTTTAACGTTCATCCCAGGTGAAAATCACCTGGTCATGTGACATCGAATTTTACGTTTCAAAAAAAAATTAATTTATTTTTTAATATAATAAATAACATATGTATTATTACATATGGGCCGATCTACAGAATCGGCTAAAATTAAGGATTTATAAAATTTATTAAAAAAACGAGATATTTATTCTGCAACTCCCTATTTCAATTGTGTTACATGATCATCTTTATGCCAACCGATTAAAAAAAAATTTTTTTTTGTACTTTAAAATAAAAATATTTTCCATAGATACAAATAAACAATGCGAATTCTAATGGGTTTTCAAGATTCCAATGGGTTTTTGGTATAGGTGATAATTTCACGTTATTTGCATATTAAATATGGTTGGTAACTATTTTTTTTGTTTTCTAAAAGTTCTTGGCGTTCAGTAGAGTTGTAAGAAGTTATAAAAGTTTGGGACTTTAGATAAAACTTGTTGTAATTTTATTTCTTGTTTGTTTATATCATATTTTATTAAAGAATTTAAGTAATAACAAAAAATTTTTATTTATTTCAAAATTAGGCAAATTTTATTATTCAAAAATCAGAGAGAGAGTGGGGAAACTTTTTGTGACTTTTCTAACCCTTTGTTAATAAATATTTCTATTTTAGTATTGTTAGAACCACCTTAGTTAAACCCTTATTTTGTTATAATTTCACCTAATTTTAAACATAAGTTACAAAGATATAATTTTTTTTGGGAAAATAAATATTATACTACAAAAATAAATAATTTAGCTAATTTAAATCCGTTTTTTGTAAAAATATTATCATTAAATTACACTCAAATAGAGCTTTTAGTTGAGCATAATTTTGCATGATTTAATAATAGAATGGTAAAATACATAAAATTTTTTTGAAATTTCACGTACATTTATAATACGATTCTTTATGCACGTGATAGTATCACCCATCCAATCATTTTTGTGATAGTTTTTAAATTATAAATTATTAATTAATGGATGATTATACGATTTTTAAGGTCAATTCCGCAGATCAGCCCATATGAGTTATATAATTTACATTAATAAATCTCGTTTATAACAAATAATGTTTTTATTAGTATTTGAATTACATTAAGAATTACATCAAAAATATCTGTCGTTCTCCTCTCTGATTATAATTTTCTAATATAGAGTTACAATACATAAAAATCTACGCTGCTCTCATATTAATTAAAGTAGTTATTAGTACAATAAAAAATCAAATAAAGAGTGCACTCTGGTATAAAACTATGGAAGTATAGTATAATACCTCTATATTTCATATCCCTAGCATTTGGACACTTTTTCTGGTAATGATCAGATTTTCCGCATAACAGACACTTGTGTTGACTCTTTGCCACTTGATAATTTAGATCATTCAGGGTTTCTTGCATCGGGACCCGTTTTTTTGATAATTCCATAGCGCTCTTCAATCTTTTCTTTGAGGGAGCACCTCGTATTTTAGTAACTAGGGTTGCAGACATATCTTTTCTTGAGGGAAACTATCTTACAGCATACGTCACGGCAATACGTCACATGTGCCGTTTGCCACAACCACTGACTTTTGGCATATTTCTTGATATATGATATATATCTTGATGTATAACAAATATCTGACGTATGACTAAGGTTGCCTGCCAAAAGCCGAAACTCTTTTATTAGTGCCGAAACTGCCGAAACGCCGAAATGCCGAAACCTGCTGAAATGCCAAAACTGCCGAAACTATTTGCAAGTTTTGGCATAGTTTCGGCATAGCTAATACTAACATCTTGATATAGTTTCGGCATAATTTCGGCATTCTATAATAATTTTTTTTCATTAATTTAATTCCAATATATATATACGTAATTAAATATTTTATTTTATTATTTATTTTATTGTAATAAACCAATTTTTATAAACAATGGTATACTATAAGAAACACACTCGTTTCTTTGAAGCAATTAAATAAAACTTTCCATATAAAAAAGTCTGGTAAAAAAAAACAAAAAAAATAGAAAGAACATTATAACGTTTCTTCAATATATTAAAAAAAAAGATTCCTTCCCCCTTCCTTAAGC